TTCTGTGGGTCAGTGAACCCTCTGACCTCTGTCACCATGTCAACACACTCAGGAGGGATCTGATTGGCTGCTGCAGGTCGTGTGGTTATCCAGAGGTGAGCAGAGGGAAGCAGTTTCCCCTGATGAGGTTTGTCAGCAGCACATCCACTGAGGTGGACTCTGTGACATCAGTCAGGGTCTGGTTGTTTTTAAAGTCCAGAGGAAGTCGACACTCATCCAGACCATCAAAGATGAACACAACCTGGAACTCTTCAAACCTGCAGATTCCTGCTTCTTTGGTTTCAGGAAAGAAGTGATGAACAAGTTCCACCAAGCTGAACTTTTTCTCTTTCAGCACATTCAGCTCTCTGAAAGTGAATGGAAATGTGAACTGTATGTCCTGGTTGGCTTTGTCTTCAGCCCAGTCCAGAGTGAACTTCTGTGTTAAGACTGTTTTCCCGATGCCAGCCACTCCCTTTGTCATCACTGTTCTGATTGGTTCATCTCTTCCAGGTGAGGCTTTAAAGATGTCTTCTTGTCTGATGGTTGTTTCTGGTCTGTCTGGTTTCCTGGATGCTGTTTCAATCTGTCTGACCTCGTGTTCATCATTGACCTCTCCAGTCCCTCCCTCTGTGATGTAGAGCTCTGTGTAGATCTGCTTCAGAAGGGTTGGGTTTCCTGCTTTAGCAATCCCTCAAACACACACTGGAACTTCTCCTTTAGATTAGACTTCAGTTTACATCTGCACTCTGAAGCTACAGCTCCTGAATGAATAAATAAGAGATGTAATTAATCAGCTGCAATCAATCAGAACAATTTAAACTTTGAGACTTCAGCATGGTTTTTCTTTTCTTTCTCTCTGAAATCTCTTCAGCCCATCAGTATGAACTGTTTCTCTCAGTTCATAGATCTGATATAAATATGTTCTTCATATTAACAGCTGAGTTTTAAATGTAAACAATGTTGCCTCCATTTCCTCTTTCCATCATGTGAAATCTGTTAAAATCCTCTTACTGCTCTGCAGGCAGTCAGCCAGCTTCTCCTGCTTCATTCTCCTCAGGAAGTGCAGAGTGATCTTCAGAAAAGCCTCTCTGCTGCTCCTCCTCTGCTCCTCCTCCTCACTGTCCAACACCTCCTCATTCTCAGTCTGACTCTCTAAGCATTCTGGGTAATCTGGACTCAGAACTCTCTGGACTCTCTTCAGCTCATTTTTCACATAACTGACAATGTTCTCCTCCAGCAGCTGGAACAGAACATAATTTATATTTTGTAAAATTCTACAATGAATCATCTGTGACAGACAGAAACCTCCTGGTCTGCAGATTACAGCATGAAAATGGATCACAATAGTGGTTCAGTGATGGTCAGTGGACTGTATAATGAAAAGATGTGTGTTTGTTCATTTACACACCATTAATATGGAGTCCAGGCTGGTCTGACCACTGGGAGCCTCAAAGTCCTGCTGATGAACTCTGTGGAGAAAACTCACAGAAGTTTTGCTTTAAGAAATAATTCTGGTAGAAGCACAGCATGAAAAAGTCAGTTTCTGTAGCATGAAGATTTAACCTTCATTAATGGGCGTGTGGAGACCAGGGGTCGAATTTATAACCGTTTCGTACGCACAAAATGGGGCCTCTATAATAGTCAACGTGTGCGCTACCTGTAGTCATTGACAGAGCCGCTCTGTCACAATAATATAAGGCTCAAATGAAAGAGAAATGTTCACAACTCCAGTTAATAGAATGGAACTTGGTGACAGGAGATATTTCAATTAGCTCAGTGCCTTAAGTACAGTATTTAGCACAAAGCTAAACACAAAAGTATAACGTCCAACTTTCAGATCAGATATCCAGTAGATGTCACACTAAAGCATCTCTCAAACCAAAACAAAACTTGCCTCCACTGTCCTCCCCCACCCCTCCCTCAGTAGTCTGGCCAGGTACAGCCGTTGGTAGGACTGATCTTCATTCAGATATGAAGCCCAAAGATGATTTTATTCTAATTTCTTTGAAGTATTTTACTGTTGGTTGGAAAGTCTGGCTGTTCTCCTTGAATTGCACACTTGCGATGAAACTGCTATTTTTTCTCTACAAACAGCATCCTGAGTGGGCGGGGCCAACTCTATTCTCTCTCGTAGTGGCAGGGTTAACGGTTAGAGAAGGACGGGTTGACGTGAAACAAGAACATGTGTGAAACATGTTTGATCCTCAGAGTGAAATAAACAAGCTGAAGGAAGTGTTGTCCTGTCAGTGTGAACACAGAGCTGAGAACAACAAACCCATAGCTAGCTTGACTTCACTCTCCTTTTAGAAAGCCATTCCTTAAAACAATATATTTAGTGAGGGTACATTTGATATCTGCTTGAAAAATTATTAAATATTTTTATATTGTACCTTTAACAACAAGCTAACTAGCTAAACAGCTAACACGCATTTGTCCCCTAATCAACATTAGTTGGCCACGTTTACTGAATAGTAGATGGGATGTGAGATCTTCTTGATGTGATCCATAGTGTTGAAGCAGTGTTCTGTCTGCAGTGTCCTCCTGTGGTGTTCAGAGGTACTGCAGGACTCGGTGTCAGAAGTCATTGTTATAGAAGCAGATGGTGAAAAGAAGACTGTCTTCTTTTATCAGTTTATTTGTCTTCAGTAAAGTTTTTCTATGACTTTGTTGTACCTTGGGTTAGCTGAGGGGTGCTCATGTTTGAAATGAATGGGTAGATTCATAGACTTGTCACTCTTCATGGAAACACAGCTGGGTGCAGGAGAATCTGGAGTCTTTGGATGGATCCTGATTGAAACAAAGAATAGAGTAGACAAGATTAGTTTAAAACTTAAATCTTGAAGATTGTGGAGTTTCTTTTGTGGACAATTCCTGACATCATCATGATTGGAAAGGCTGTCAAGTGTGGCCGCAACGCCCTTTATTGGCGAAGTGCACACTACGCCTTAAAAGGCAGGAAGGCACATGAGTGCAGTGAGTAAACGAGCACAGCAGGAGGTTCATCGACAGAACTAAGAGCAGAGTGGATTTACTCACCAAATGGTGTCAGTTGTGTGCTGTATCTCTGCATTCATGTTCTAGTTATTTGGCTGTTTAAGTTATGCTGAGCTAAGCTAACAAGCACATTACCTGCTAATGCTAGTTTAGCCATTGCATTCTGTGAATTAAGGAGCTTGAACTGTGTTAACAGCGATAAATGCATTCTTTTGAGTGGAATTATGTTTATGTTGTAACTTAAAATGCAGAGTGTATCTTCTTCTGGTGTAGTTGTAAGGTAGTTCATAAAAGCTCCTGTATTTACTGGTGTGATGTCACAGCCATGTATGTTTAAGATATTTTGCTACTTTGTTTGATGATGGTATGTGGCATCCTTTTGTTTTCTCATCCAGACCACACACATACAGTGCTTCACAAATGTATTAGACCACCTGTCAGAAAAACTAGAAAACATAAATATTTTAGAAATCTTTCAAAAATGTATTAAAAACCAAACATGTTATTGTTTATCTGGCAAATAAACTGAAACAACTAAATAGTTATTTTTTTCACACAAAATAACCACAAATCTTAATATTTAGTATGGCCTCCTTTACAACCTCCGTGGTTCCGGAAAGTCGCTACATTCCTGAAACATTTTCTTCTGGACAAGGATTGTGAGGAGAGCAAATAAAACGTGATGTATTTTTTGGTTTGTTGTAGTTACATTGCTGGGATCAAATATGGTCAGCCTGAAGCAGAAAGCTGAATAGTGGAAGGGATGTGAGATAATGTTGATGTGATCCATAGTGTTACTGTAAGTTCAGAGGGTCAGTGTTCGTCCTGCAGTGCCCTCCTATGGTGTTCAGAGGTACTGCAGGACTCACAGTCAGTCAGAAAATAAGTTTGTCTCTTTTCTGTAAAGTTTTCATTTCTAAAAAGAGGTTAAAGAAATGAGAAATGTTCAAGCCCGTCTGTGTTGTCAAAAGATTTAAGTTAGTTAAGGAGATGTATAACAAGCAAATGGAGGCTATGACTTTGTTGTACCTTGGGTTAGCTGAGGGGTGCTCATGTTTGAAATGAATGGGTAGATTCATAGACTTGTCACTCTTCATGGACACACAGCTGGGCTCAGGAGAATCTGGAGTCTTTGGATGGATCCTGATTGAAACAGAATAGATTAGACAAGATTAGTTTAAAACTTAAACATTGGACTTCAATACAACACACCCAGAGCTCCTAATGTGAAACATGATGGTGGAATGACTTCAACCAAGTTCAGATTCTAATATAAAGAATTATAAAAATGTTCTAAATATGAGGTGAAATTGAGATTTACACAGAAACGAGTTCTAATGCTCCCTAGAGGTCAAACTTTAGTTTGAACTCTTCTTTTAAAAGTTTATTAACAATGTGAAAACCCTACATTACATTCTTCCATTTTTTTGGCATGCTGTTGTCCATCTTTGAAATCATGAGATTCTTTCGGTGGAGGTTCATCTTCATGTCCAGGTTGAGCGGAGTGTGGTCTGTTCTGCTGCTTTGGACTTCAACACACAGAGAGAGAGAGCATCGATTGTGAATAATGAAGCTGTAGTTATATTTTGCTTGTTTGTTTATTTAACAACTAATATCAAACAACACAAACTGAAAACTGTCTTATACATACAGTAGCTCAACATACGTTTTTTTTTCACTTATAATTTAGTAGTACCCATCAACTAGATCACAGGAAAATATATCCTATACAATTTCTTGTGTATAAATACAATCTTAACCTGCCTAATCTCATGCATGAACTTCCTGAAGTGCCTTACAGCAGCTATGATTCTGCACATGTTTCTCACCTTTGGTCAGTTTGGTTGTTCCAAGAATTTTTTACAATCAATAGTAATCCCCAATAACTTCTGTTGCCTGTTCAATAGCTGTACCACCAATAGCTAAGTGTAAACTGGGTGTTTCTTTTAACAAATATGTTGAGCCTAGTACCAAAAATGTTTTCTTTGCTGTATTAATAACCAGTTTCTTGACTGTAACCCATTTTTCAATTAATTTTAATTCCTTGTCCAAGATCATGCAAAGTTCTACGTGTTTGTGCCGATGTATACACTGTAGAATCATCTGCTTATGTTGCAATGGTGGCATGATCTAAAATTAAAGGTAAATAATTTCATTGAAAATAAAAGCCTAAACAACAACAAACAACTTCCTTGTAGCACTCCACAACTCATAGCTCTTACTTCAAAAGAACTACAATTAAAATGTACAGTATCTTCCCTCTTGGTGAGGTAACTTTTAATCAATGCAACAGCAGGTTCTTCTAAACCATAACAACTCAACAATAATAATTAAAGATTTAGTCACTGAGGTTGTAGAGTGCCCCCTTTTACAGTGCTCAAACCATTTTTAGAGATATAAGTCTGAATTTGCTCAGACTATTTTCTCTGTAATTTTACTCCAGGTGGGTAGAAAACTTATTGGTCTACTATGTTTACCAGAGAATGGTTATTTACTATTTATTGCAAGTGGTATAATTTGAGCTATTTTCCCTTTTGAAGGACAAACTTATTTTTCTGAACTTAAATTGAAATGGGAAGAGCAATCACATCAGCAACTGGTTTCAGTAGTTTCACCAAGGTTGTAAACACCTGAGGGTTGTTCCTCACTTGTCAGCAACAAATGTGTTATTGTACTAATGCCAACATTTTAAAGTTGAAATTTACATGATTTGTTACTCATTTTTTATTTTATTAACCTACTAGAAATGTCATTTTCATTTGTCCATGCCATCTTGCAATTTTTAAATGTTATTGTTAAAACATATACTCAAATAATTTGAAAAATCAATTGTTTTAAAAGAAAAATTCCTTCTGCTTCCAAGAAGGATGTTGTTGATTTAGCTCTTCTTCTGATTAATTCATGTAGGGCATTCCATATTTTACATCTGTCTAATGTGAGTTCTGAGCTCTGATGTGGAGAAGAGTCGTGGACAGTTAGAGATCCTCACCTGGTCTGGTCTTCATGTTCCCCCCACAGAGTGGATTTAGAGGGAGGGGCTCCCTCGTCTCTGTCCTCAGACTGATTCATAGCAGAGCCCCAACCTTCTTTATAGTTTGCTTCTGTTTAAAAACTGAAGATGTAAAAGGCAAGTTTATTTATATATCACATTTCAGGAACAAGGGAAAAGAAACATCACAATAGAACATTTAAAAATGTACTTAAATAAACCATTAAGTATCACAGGCAAGATTAATTGTGTATAAAAAAGAAGCTAAAATATAAGAAGAGTTTTATAAAAGAAATTGAAATAATAAGCGTAAACATTACAGTGCAAAGATATAGTTTAAAATCTTTTTTAAATGTATTAAAATTGTTTACTGAAAGGCAGCTGTAAACAGGTGAGTCTTCAACCTGGAGTTTAAAGAAGTGATACTTTAAGCAGATCTGCAGTTTTCTGGGAGTTTGTTCCAGATATAAGGTCACTAATGTATTTTGGGCCTACACTATTCAGCCCTTTATAAACCAGCAGCACTATTCTCTGACAGACTGGGAGCCAGTGAACAGAGCTCAGAACTGGACTGATGTGATCCATTTTCTTGGTTTTGAGGACTCTTGCCTGGTCTGTGGTTTGCACTTTTACTGACTTAAGCTGCGTGCTGACTCTTAGTTGCTCTTCCTTTGCTCCAAAAACAACAACCTCAGTTTGGTCTTTGTTTAGCTGGAGAACATTTTTGCTCGTCCACTCATTGATTTGTTCTATGCATTTACCCAATGTTTGTGTTATGGCTTCAAACAAAACTTCCAGGATTTTGCTGCTGAGCGGTTTAACACACAAAGTCAACTTGTGAACTTTTTAACAGAAAACTTTCTGCAAAATTTAAACTCCACTAAATAAAATAAACAAATCAGCTCATTATCATCGAGGTGTGGACTCGAGTCACAGATTTGATGAAAGACTTGCTACTCGGCTTGGACTTCAACACCAATGACTCGTGACTTCACTTGGACTTCAGGTTTTAATGTTATTTTAGGTCCCATATATGATTTCAGTGATGCGCAAAACATGGACGGACTCACAGAGTTTTACAATGTAAATATAATTAACTGTGAACAGAATATCGTGGGATTTGCCTCAGCACGGGTGTGATGTATTAAAAAACCCTTCGTTTTCATACCAAGGGTTTTTATAAAAAAATATGATGAGTTTTATGCACATTTGGTGTACATGCAGCTTCACGCTGCTGCTCCTCTTCTGTTGGCATGTTGCAGGCGCGAGTGGACACACACACACACACACACACACACACACACACACACACACACCGGAACGCCAGCCATCCCGCGCGCCAATTTACTTTTAGCTCAACACAGCCCGTGTTCTGTATGGACCTTAATATCCACGGTCGATATGGATCAAGTCTTTATGTTCGGGAAGGTACGGAATCCGGTCAAATGGTGGTTTCGACTTTTCCCTGTTCTCTCTCACGTGTCTGCATACTGTATTTATCAACAATCAGCACATTAACCCTCAGGCATCAGTTTAATTTATTACCCTCTGAAGTCACTAAGGACAAAAATGTCCATTCCAAAAAAAAAAATAGAACAGATTGATTTTCTTTCTACTTTTTTCTGCATAAATCTCTTAAACAACTTCAGCCCTGCTCAAAACTACCAAATCTTGAATAATTATCAATCCCAGTTTGATTACATGATTCTGACATTTAAAGGGTTAAATTCCTAAAAATGATTGAATGTTTGGTAGTTTTGAGCAGGGCTGAAGTTATTTAAGAGATTTAAGCAGAAAAAAGTAGAAAGAAAATCTGTTCTATTTTTATATCAGTTTTTTGTAAGTGGACATTTTTGTCCTTAGTGACTTCAGAGGGTAGTAAACATGTTTCTCAGTCTTCTATTGATCTATTAAAAAAATAAAAGGGAAATTCCAAAATGTGTCAAGACAGAGACTGTCTTACATAAAATGTGTGCCATATGCACTAATATTAGTGACAAGATATTAGTGTTTATAAATTAACAACACATTGCATTGACCTTCAACATTCAATATTTTTTATAACCTATTCATCTGTAACTGTCTCACCTTTATACAGGTACCAACACTCAGATAATAAAATCTGCACCAGTGTCTCAAAGACTCAATTAAAGTAACCTTTGATACTGTAATCTGACATTCAAACTCAGGTGCTGCAGGTTTTCATTGTTTTATGATCCTTAAACTGACTGAGGATAAAACAGGTTTATTTAATACGGTCAGCTCTACTGAGAACTAACAAACACATTTTCATACTTTCACCTTTTGAAGATTAATTACATTCCACTTTACTGTAACACTTAAACGCTCAGGTGTAGTTACTCTGAGTTGAACGTTTGTTTGTAATTTAATGGCTTGTTTGTTATTTTTCTCAAATAATCATAATTTCTGATTAGACAAAAAATGTCACGCCTGTATTACATGTTCATAATGACGAACCTTTTTAGAGGACAAGCTAGGTTCAATGTTTGTCTTTGCAGTGAGACAAACATTTAGCCAGCCTACAATAAATACAATTTAAAAAGAGACTAAAATCAGTAAAAGTCCCATGGACAATAAATAAGCAGTCAGTGGATATTACAGCAGTCAGTGGATATTACATTGATATGTCTGCCCTCTATATATTTAAAATGTTATTAAGGTTGACTGTATAAAGTTTATTGAATAGTGTGCACCCTCAAAAAAAATCTCCGCTATGTAGCCATCTTTTTATCCAGAGCATTGCATGCGTAAATATCAAATCTAAAATAAACTGAAGACCAAATTACACTTTGTGAACTCTACTAAAAAAGACCCCATCGGGGGTCAGACGGGAGCGCTGCCTGGTCACAAGCAGCGGCTGAAAATACCCGCTCGGATGGCACTGATGTTGCGGGTGCCAGCTTTGCTAGTCAGGGAAATCTCTCTGCATTTACTTTCCACTAGTCTGTCGGTTTTGTATCCAAAGGTGGGGGAATGTGCCACAAAAAGTTATCCACCTCCGTATCCATGCTGATGGTGGGCTGATGCACGGCTGCAGCGCCCAGTGAGACGGTGCGTCTCTGTCGTAACCAGCACCGTAGTCTCTTTGCGTTTCTTAAAAAACTCAGATGTTTGTGTCGAGGGTCCAGCATCGTTACAACATATACAGCCTACTTTGTAAATACACCATTGCACTGATAAAAAGGGGGTTAAAATGAGACACGTTCTTGATATTTCAAATCAGTAAATCGAGTTAATATTTCCACCTCGAGCAAATTCTTAACGACCAATCAATCGATCGTTGATTAACTGTTATCATCCCTAGTGGTTAATGAAAAATGTTGAAGTGTCTGTTTCCTAATTATACATCCTTTAACTGGGTCTACCCCAGGGTCTCCTCCCTGTTGGACATGTCTGGAAAGCCTCCAATAGGAGGAGTCCAGGAGGATCCTAATCAGATACCCGAACCACCTCAACTGGCTCCTTTCCATGTGAAGGAGTAGGGACTCTACTCCGAGCTCTTCACCCTCTCTCTAAGGCTGAGCCCTTCAGAGGAAACTCATTTATCACTTTATTGTGAGCAAACAACATGTTTCCCATGTAGCTTTCTCAGGTTCACAGATTGTTCTCAGGTGGCAGAGGGAGACCAGAGGGAGAGTAACTTAAGTACGTGAACAATTTGTATTTACCGGAAGCCATCTGCAAAGACAGATTTTTATGATCAACTGAAACTTCTTCTGGACTATTGTAACTTAGACAAAGAGTTGATTATCATGGGTGACTTGAATATTAACTGGGATGATAAGAAGGATAGAAAAAATCTCAAGCAAATTGCTGACCAATTTAATCTTCAACAAATAAAACTTAAACAAATAATAGATAAACCCACCAGAATAACTGCTTGTTCCTCAACCAGAATAGACTTATTATTTACAAATCATCCTGAAAGAATAAAAAAAAACCTACAATCTACTAACAGGAATCTCAGATCATAATATGATTTTGTTCTCACAAAAACTCTCAAAAAAAAGATTTCCCAACTCAACACACAACTAGACGTTGTCATGAGTTCATTCCACGAAACCAAATTCCATGTCTGGACGCAGCGCTCAAAGAGAGTGACTGGAGTGAAACTCTCATGAGTGAAAATATAGAAAATGGTTGTGATATAAATAATGTCTCCATTTCTGAGAAAGGGAAAACAAAGAAGGTCTGACCACAGACAGACAGAGATTTACCTTAATTAGAAATAAAGTAATAAGCACAATGTGGAGGGCGAAGGCAAATTTCTTCATGACCATTATTGAAGATGCAAAAGGAAATAACAAAGTTATATGGCAAAATATTAATAAATTAATTGGTAGGCAACCTAAAAATGGCACTGATAATTTTGAAATAAAACTTAACAACATACCTGTGCAAAATCCCTCAACTATAGCCACTGAAATGAACAAATACTTTATGAATTTGGTTAACTAGATAACACAACAGTTTACCCGCCCTAACTGTATACATAACCTTCCTAGTCCCAATCATGCGGCTTTTAAGATAGCGGAAATATCTGAAGTAGAGGTGATGAATATTATTAACTCCCTCAAACGGTCAAAATCCAAAGATGTGTCTGGACTCGACACACATTTTTTAAAATGTATAAAGAATCATTAATCTTACCAATTACACATCTGTTTAATTTATCCTTAGACAAAGTGTAGTGCCCTCAGCGTGGAAGCTGTTATCACCCCAATTTTTAAATCTGGTGATAAAACAGAAATGGCAAATTACTGACCTATCAGTATTCTACCCGTAATCTCCAAAATAGCAGAGAAGTGGGTCGCAAAACAACTGAATATACACTTAAATAATGGCCACACACCCCTGCATCCGATGCAGTTTGGGTTTCGTAACCACCATTCTACAGAGTCTGCAAACTGAATTTTTGTTGAAAAAATCAAAAGCCTTCTTGATAGAAATGCCTGTGTAGGTGTTGTATTTCTGGACCTCAAGAAGGCTTTTGATACCATCAACTATAGTGTTCTTATCTCAAAATTAACTTGTTACAATTTTTCACAGGAAGCACTACTCTGGTTTGAATCATACTTATCAATTAGAAAACAATGTGTGTCCATCTCTGGCACCAAATCCTCTTACCTTGACTGTCCAACAGGGGTCCCACAAGGCAGTATTTTGGGACCTATTTTATTTACTATTTATATAAATGACCTTCCGGAAGTGTGTAAAAATGTAAACATTCAAATGTATGCTGGTGATGCCGTTGTTTTTACACAGGGAAGAAATACTCATGGAGTCTCACAAATTTTAAAAACAGCCATGACCCAAGTGCAAAGCTGGGTCAAAGATTCATGTCTTCAATTAAACACAAAGAAAACGGTCTGCATGATGTTCACTAAACAGCCAACCAGCCTTCAGCAGTCCGGCGTTTACCTGGAAGGTGTAGAGCTTAGTCTAGCTAATGAGTTTAAATATTTAGGCCTAACATTGGACCCAACATTAACATTTAAAAAACACATCAAACAATTAACAAAGACGGTAAATTTTAATATAAACAATTTTAGACAGGTAAGATCCTTCATGAATATAAATGCTGCTCGAATGTTTTTACACTCGATGATTTTTTCATATATTGAATACTGTATAACCACATGGTCACTTTCCGCTGGCACAACACTTGAACCAATACAATCTATTTTTAAAAAGGCCATAAAACTCTTAGACAAAAAGCCATTTTCGTTTCACCATTGCACGATTTTAGATAAACATCATTTACTAAATTTTCATAATTTTGTTCATTTTAAAAATGAATGTTTTATATATAAAATTTTGCACAGACTTGCTCCTCCTCCTTTGAAGGACTTTATAAAGCTGAAGTCTGCCAGTGGGATCGGCACCAGGGGCCACAGCCCGAGGAGACTGTGAGGCCCCACACAGACGCACTACATTCAGACAAACTGTTCTGTCAGTCAAAGGAGCTAAATATTAGAATATTCTCCCACTCACAATAAGAGACTCACAAACATATGCAACCTTCAAAACACACCTCAAACAGTGGATAAAAGAAAACTAAGTCTGAGACCACCTTTAACCTTTAACCTCTATTATTGTCTTGTGTCACTTGTGCCTTTGTATTTGTATTTTATTTGTAATTTGTCTTTCTCTTACCTGCCTAGGGACAACAGATGGAAACTAGCACTTCTGCCATAATCTGGCATTTTTACAGCTGTTTATTAATGTGCACTGTCCCTAACAAATAAATAAAAAAATAAAAGAAATAAAATGACACACAGACACACACAGTATGCTGATCCTGTACATGGGATTTTAATGGAAACAGAACAGTGGTCCTCTCATATAAACACATCTGTACAAACACACACACATGAAACCACAGTTACACACAGGAAGTGTGTTTCTACTCACATCAGGTGAGATAAAGAGCAGGTACAGGAAGCTAACAGCGAGCGACTGACAGAGGAGCATGATGAGCAGGGTGGACCGGTAGTTACAGGACAGTCACAGGTTCAAGTCCCACATCTGCCAAAGTGATCTGCAGTGACTCAAAGTGATCCACAGAGATCCACAGTGATCCACAGAGATCCACAGAGATCTGCAGTGATCCACATAGATCTGCAGTGATCCACAGAGATCTGCAGTGATCCACAGTGATCCACAGAGATCCACAGAGATCTGCAGTGATCCACAGAGATCTGCAGTGATCCACAGAGATCCACATAGATCTGCAGTGATCCACAGAGATCCACAGTGATCCACAGAGATCCACATAGATCTGCAGTGATCCACAGAGATCTGCAGTGACTCAAAGTGATCCACAGAGATCCACAGAGATCCACAGTGATCTGCAGTGATCCACAGAGATCTGCAGTGATTCAAAGTGATCCACAGAGATCCACAGTGATCTGCAGTGATCCACAGAGATCTGCAGTGATCCACAGAGATCTGCAGTGACTCAAAGTGATCCACAGAGATCCACAGTGATCCACAGAGATCCACATAGATCTGCAGTGATCCACAGAAATCCACATAGATCTGCAGTGATCCACAGAGATCCGCAGTGATCCACAGAGATCCACATAGATCTGCAGTGATCCACAGAGATCCACAGTGATCCACAGAGATCCACAGTGATCTGCAGTGATCCACAGAGATCTGCAGTGACTCAAAGTGATCCACAGAGATCCACATAGATCTGCAGTGATCCACAGAGATCCACAGTGATCCACAGAGATCCACATAGATCTGCAGTGATCCACAGAGATCTGCAGTGACTCAAAGTGATCCACAGAGATCTGCAGTGATTCACAGAGATCTGCAGTGACTCAAAGTGATCCACAGAGATCCACAGTGATCTGCAGTGATCCACAGAGATCTGCAGTGATTCAAAGTGATCCACAGAGATCCACAGTGATCTGCAGTGATCCACAGAGATCTGCAGTGATCCACAGAGATCTGCAGTGACTCAAAGTGATCCACATAGATCTGCAGTGATCCACAGAGATCTGCAGTGATCCACAGAGATCTGCAGTGACTCAAAGTGATCCACAGTGTGACAGCGATGTGGACAAATAAAACATTTACATTCTAATTCAGGTAACTGTTGTGTGTTGACTCATCAGGGAATAAATAAAGAACAAAGTAAATATGTTTAAATAAACTTTACATAAATAAACTAAAAGGCACAAAAAAAGAAATACATCCAATAATTTCAATAAACTATGTTATGTATAATGTATGAATTATAATTAGTATGCTCAGAATAAAACCATCTTTAATTGCTTTATTTGAAATCAATGATGTATATAAAAGCGTCGACAAGATTTGTTTTTATCTTTAAGTCAAAAGTGCTGAGGGGAAAACGTTAAAGCTCATTTATTGATGAATCCTTTATTTCTCTCCTAGTGAAGCTGATTTGTTCCTATAAGAACATTCGGACTCTGTGAGACTGAAATGTTGATCTTAAAAATGAATTATTTTCATAAAACAAGAGAAGCCTACAGTAGATCTGATTTATTCTCGTGAGCTAACGAGCTACTGACGAGAACAAGTGTTAGCAAAATGCTAACTGAAGCTAACACCATTGACAGAAAAATGTTATTCCTCTCCTAATGCCTCGACCTGTTTCCTCTGCTCAGAACAGCAACACGCTGACATCACTTCCTGTGTTTGTGACGTAGAAACAACTTAGTTACTGCTGATGATCAAATCTGACATGCCTGAAATAAAATATTTAATATTTATTAAAAGACAAACTGACACTTTTCAAAAGTTACCTTTGTTTGTTACTTTTGAGTTAACGTTTGATATGATTCACAAAATGTACAGAGTCACACCTGAAGAGGTAATCTCATCATTGCAGATTAATTATAGATAATTATTTATTTAGTAGATTATTTACAGATAATTATGTAGTGTTTATATGATGTTGTCCTTTATTATTATGAATGATATAAGTTCAGATAATTTAGAGCATTGACCTGAAAGAAGCGCACTAAGATATTAATTCACTACTTACACTGTCGCATGGTTTAACTCAGGATAAAAACATGTTCAGCTCCAGAGACGTCTGAAGGTTTCTGATGCTAGGCTAACAGCTCCTCCTGCTTTCAGTCTTTGTGCTAAGCTCGGCTAAACTTCTGTGCTGTCACACTGAGATGACAATGATCCACCTGAGTGCAGAGAAGACAGTGATTGATTTAAATGTTGGACTGTTCCTTTAAAAAGAACAGAAAAGTTGTTCAGCAGAATAAAGAACGTTAGTTCTCTTGTAGCAGTTATTCATTGGAGAATCACAATCTTTGCTGTGGCTCTGATGTAAAGCTTTTAGAACTGCAAAGAAAAGACGACTGTAAAAACCAGACTGACGGCTGCTTAAAGCTCTTTTCATGGACAACGACTGAGGGGGGAAAAACTCCCAGAACTGAAACTGCAACATATCATTACATGCTGTACAAAAAGGTGCTTTGACCAATATTAAGAGTGAGGACATTTTAAAGACATAAGATTTGTTTTTACATGATTATCTACAAAATGAAGAGGACACAGGATCTATTGAAAGTTGTTTTTGGATCAGTCCATAAAAAGATATTCTGTCTTTATGCTCTTTGTTATATAATCAACGTCATTGCTTAAAAAAAATGTTCTCTATTGATCCCTTAATGACAAGCTGACAGTTTTCTTCTTGACCGTTTTATAATCCAAAATAACATTTGGAATAATTACACATAAAAACCTTCCGGAAAGCAGAAACCGTCCTCTCTAGTTGTACAAAGTCTACAAAGGGAATAAGCTGACAGGCTCACTGTTGACCACTTAAAGAGTTCAAACAGTTCAGTCCTCAATTTACATGTCTTTGGTTTTCTTCTTTTCAGCTGAGGTTCTGAAACTTGTCCCTCAGGTTTTTCACGATGCTCTGCTGACCAGCCTCTACCTTCAGCCCTGAGTTTGAGCTTGTTTTCTGGGATTCAACGTCCTGATCTTTGGTGGATGCCACGCTGATGTCAAGCTCTTGAGGCCTTGTGGGCTCAGTTTTAGCTCTCACTTCCTCCCTCTGTTTATATTCGTCAGACTCCTGATAGGCCCGGCAGCGGTCTATGACGGCCATGATGGAGATCTTCTCCCTGCTGGTCGGTGAACGAATTTGGATGTAGCTGTCGTCCTCCTCTTCAGCTTCTTTTTTGGACTCTTTTTTGGCTGTTTCTGACTCAGGTTCTGACTCAGGTTCTGACTCCAGATCTGGAAGTTTCTCCATAACGATGATCTTGTGTTCTGGATCATTTGGTAGCACCGCCTCAGCCGCAATGTAGTAACCATCGTCATTATCGTTAGCCACCTGGTCCTTTAGCTTCTGCAGCTCAGTCATTTGTTCTGCACTCAGTCGAGGGTCCAGAGAATTGGCTCTGAGAAGCCTTTTGGTGCGTTCCTCTCGACCAGCGTCCCAGCTGCCACAAGGCTTGTGAGAAGGAACCTCACAAGAAGCCTCATCCATGCGGGGGAGGCTGGAGGAGCAGCTGGAATGCCTCCTCAGTCCACCATCAGACATCTTCTCCGGGATAGAGCGACTCCGGCTGACGGTACTCTTTTGGGGTCTAGCAGGATTGGAGTATTTGGAGCGGAGTTCCCGGACGTCAGGCCAGTTGAAGTTCTCGGTGGGAGGGGTAGGGCTGGGGGGGCTGTGGGACCGAGCCCTGCCCGGGGACACCACCCTGGAACTACCCACTGAACTACAGGTGAGTCCAGGGGAAGGAGACTGGATCTGGTCTACTGGGCTCAACGGTAGAGAGGATGCTTGGCTATGAGAAACCAGTGGCAGAGTCAGGTTGGGTTTACCTGCAAAACAAAAACAAGTCCTTAATTCAAAATACCAACACATTGTTTTAGTCTTATTTAGGATACATTCTGTTTGGTTGTTTGATATATTTTTAAATATATTACTAATTAAAACTGAAAGAAGTGATGGGCCTAACCCCCCTGAAAGACTAGAGTTGTAATAAACCATCTTTAGAAGGACAGATGATCTGACCCTGTTCATCATCGATGCAGTAGGGTAAGGAGAAACAAACCTTTAGGTAAACAGGACGTCACAGTTCCTGCATTTTCCTTCTCTTCCAACACGCAGGGTAAGCTCTTCTTGCCAATCAGCAGGCCCTGACTTCTCTGTCGGACCACTGGAGTGGTCGTTTTAAGACGCTGGCTGTACTGTCGAGCTAGATGGAGAACTTTGCTGTTTGTTTTGTCTGTTTCATCCAGCTGGTCTAAATCCTTGCCGGGTCTTTCCCCCTCTACCTCTGCCCTTAGCTGTGCGACCCGAGGAACCGGAGCTCTGAAGATGGCAGCCTCTTCCCTGAATGTCCTCAGAGAGTCTTTCAGATTTCCTGTGTGGTTCACACCAGGGACTTTGTGCTTTAGGGGCGAAGGACTCGTGGATTCCTCTGTGATGGTGCTAAGGTCAGATGCTCCACTGTCTCGGTCACAGATTTTATTTTGGGTCTTCGGCGTCTCAGACAGGTTGTCATGAGTCGCTCTGGATTTTCTTTGAGCTTCTCGAGATCGATCACACCCTCTGTCTTCACTTCTGTTGATTTCTTGCTCCATCGTCTGCCAGATCTTGATCATTTCAGATGAAGGTCTGAACTCCTCTTCCTCACAGGGATTGTCCTGCACACTTTGAGATCTGGTCCTGGTGCTTTCTCCTGAATCTTCTGGCTCTTTGTTCACCATATCAGACTTCAGAGGATCCAAACAGTCATCAGTCACTATGTCAGCCCAGGTACCTGTTGGTAAAGCTGAGTTTGACTCCAGCCTGAGGGATTTGGCAGAGGGGTTTGTTTGGACACTCTCATCGTTTTGGTTGCTGTTAAAGCGGCTGACAGAGTTCCTCACCACCCCCATTGGGATGTATGTCAGGCTCTCCCTGCGCTGGAGGCTGAACGTGGCGCCCTGGTTCTCGGCGGTCTCGTAGTAGCTCCTGATTTTTCCAATGAGCAGCTGGTCCTGCTTGGACAG